CTCTAAAACATATATTATTGAAAGCTGTCTAACATATCCCTGATGGAAAAATTTTGCTGAAAACGTAATGAAATTTGCTGAAATTTGGTTGAAAATCTCTTGCAATTGACCCAATTTCATTATCATTTCAGCAATTTTTCGTTAAAAAATTTATTTTCAGTGAAATTCTGCAAATTTCATAATATACATTTCAAATTTTTTTCACTAATTTTTAGTAATATTAATTAACTTTCATCTAATTTCACAGTATTTCATTGAATTTCATAACGAAACTTATGATTTTTTAAAAAATTAATATTAATATTAGTATGAATTAATATGAATTAATATTACTAAAAATTAGTGAAAAAAAAATTTGAAATGTATATTATGAAATTTGCAGAATTTCACTGAAAATAAATGTTTTAATGTAAAATTGCTGAAATGAGAATGAAATTGGGTCAATTGCAAGAAATTTTTAACCAAATTTCAGCAAATTTCATTACGTTTTCAGCAACATTTTTCCATCAGGGATAACTTGGAAATTAATATTGAAATGTAATATAGAAATCATTCAGAAATATTCTGAAATGTTTCATCGAAATCATTTATGATCCTTCTCACTGAAATATTTCAGAATTATTACGAAACATTTCAGAGAAATATTTCGTACGTAATCTCTAAAACATATATTATTGAAAGCTATCCAACATATAACTTGGAAATTAATATTAAAATGTAATATAGAAATCATTCAGAAATATTTCTGAAGCATTTCAGAGATATTTCAGAAACATTTATGATATTTCATCTACGCGGACATTTCATGCATCTGAAACATGTCTGAAATATTTTTTTGAAAGATTTCATATTTCATTGACAGCTTTTTGAGAGCTTTCTGAAATATTTCGGTGCTGTGTGGGATAGCACTAGTACCACTCAATGCCGCGGCGTGGCGACCGCGCGTTAGTCTTTCTCGTAAGTAAAAATCATTCCGTATTAGTATAAGAGGCGAGCCGATATGATGCAATAGCGAGTTGTCTGGATCATGAATAATCTTCAATAACCTGAATATACTTTTGATGACTTCCAGAAAGTAGACGTTCAATGGACACCCACACAGCAAAACAAATTTCAGAAAGCTTTCCGAAAGATAACTTGGAAATTAATATTGAAATGTAAAATTGAAATCATTCAGAAATATCTTTGAAACGTTTCATCAAAATCACATGTCATTGAAAGCTTTCCAAAAGATACCTTAGAAATTAATATTGAAATGTAACATTGAAATCGTTCAGAAGTATTTCTGAAACGTTTTATCGAAATCATTTATGATCTTTCTCACTGAAATATTTCAGAAATATTACAAAACATTTCAGAGAAATATTTCGTATGTAATCTCTAAAACATATGTTATTGAAAGCTATCCAACATATAACTTGGAAATTAATAGCGAAATGTAAGATAGAAATCATTCAGAAATATTTCTGAAGCATTCCGACGCATTTCAGAAATATTTCCAAAGCATTTCTGAAGTATTTCTGAAGAATTTCAGAAATATTTCCGACGCATTTCAAAAATATTTCCGACGCATTTCGGAAATATTTCCGAAGCATTTAAGAGATATTTCTGAAGCATTTCAGAAATATTTCAGAAACATTTATGATATCTCATCTACGCGGACATTTCATGTATCTGAAACATGTCTGAAATATTTTTTTGAAAGGTTTCATACATGTATTTCATTGACAGCTTTTTGAGAGCTTTCTGAAATATTTCGGTGCTGTGTGGGATGGTAGGGGAGAATGGGTATGAAAGAGCCATGTTTTGAAAGAGCCACTTCATATTTCAACTAACTGAATGTAACCAAAAATTTTTTAATATTTTGATTTGATAGCAACACTGAAACTACGTCATCCATAAACATTTGACAGTCAACGTGAAAACGGCGTGTCCGTGATGAGAGGTTAAAGATTATTACGACAAAAAGTAAATTGATTGAGTTAAATTTCCATGTCTTTTACATTTATTTGTGATTAGCTTTTAGGAAAAGTATTTTTTAATCAAATACTATATACATTAGCCTAACTAAGAAGGTAGTATACAACTCTCTTGTTTATTTTGGTTTATCAGATATTTCATGGTTAGATTTTTGACACATGATGTTATGAAAGAGCCAATGTTGAGAGCTATGAAAAAGCCGGCTCTTTCATTGCCACTTTGCCTGGCTTCTTCATTGCATACCTATTGTAAATAGATTTTCAAGTATTTCTGCATTATAAAACAACATTCTTCACGGTTTATAGGTTATACTGGTGCTAGCATAGCTAATTAGAAATGTTATATTTTCTATCTTTCAGACATTTATTAGTTTTCGAAGAAGATCATTTTTGTTAAAGAATAACATATTTTCATTTCATTTGTGTTATTAGTTTATAATTTAGTATCCGGCTTCTTCAAAACCATGTGGTAATAGAGGAAAGTTTAATTTTTATTGTAATAAGTGTTTATAATTAGAAATGTTATATTTTCTATCTTTCAGACATTTATTAGTTTTCGAAGATCATTTTTGTTAAAGGATAACATATTTTCATTTTATTTGTGTTATTAGCTTATAATTTAGTATCCGGCTTCTTCAAAACCATGTGGTAATAGAGGAAAGTTTAATTTTTATTGTAATAAGTGTTTATAATTAGAAATGTTATATTTGCTTTCTTTCAGACATTTATTAGTTTTCGAAGAAGATCATTTTTGTTAAAGGATAACATATTTTCATTTTATTTGTGTTATTATAAGCTTATAATTTAGTATCCGGCTTCTTCAAAACCAGTGATGGCTTTTTCAAAGCCATGTTGTGATGAAAGAGCCGAAATCCCTATTTTAAAAAAAGGTGAATAAAATATGTTATTTACTAAATAAAATTTTTTTGTTAAATTGATCTTATAGATAAATAAGTACACTATTGTTAGAAAGCGGTTTTATTTTACTAATAACAGATTAAATACTTTTTTTCATACTTTGAAAAATACTGGCTCTTTCATGCGGTCATGCCCACTCTCCCCTACTAGTGCTATCTATTCAGGAGGGAATCAGGCATATGTCAGGGATTCCTTATTAGCCCTGATGGAAAAATTTTGCTGAAAACATAATGAAATTTGCTGAAATTTGGTTGAAAATCATTTGCAATTGATCCAATTTCATTATCATTTCAGCAATTTTTCATTACAAAATTTATTTTCAGTGAAATTCTGCAAATTTTATAATATGCAACATTTCAAAATTTTTTCACTAATTTTTAGTAATATTAATTAACTTTCACCTAATTTCACAGTATTTCATTGAATTTCATAACGAAACTTATGATTTATTTTGATACTATCAGGGATAACCTGATGGAAAAATTTTGCTGAAAATGTAATGAAATTGATGAAAAATGAAATGAAAGTTATTGGAAACTTGTTGAAACCATTTCAAAATAAATCATAAGTTTCGTTATGAAATTCAATGAAATACTGTGAAATTAGATGAAAGTTAATTAATATTACTAAAAATTAGTGAAAAAATTTTAGAAATGTATAAGGTATTTTTAGAATAAATTGAATGAACATGTATCATTATAATAGTGTTTCTCGAAAATGTTGAAGGAATTAATTATGATAATACTGCGCTTTTGAAACAGGGCCGCTCCTGAGAGAACACCGTCGAAAGTAAACTGACCGTCGCTGGAGTGCGCGCGGCAAGGGGACAAAAGTAGGCGGTTCCCTTTCTAAAAAAGGCACGTTCATCCGTATCTTTTTTTCGGTTGACCTTTTAATACCATTTTAATATTATTTTGCTACCTAAGATGTCGGTCCACGTTCGGTGACGTAATCGAGCCTGGTTCGGTCTTCCTCTACAGACTCCGTAACAAATAGTCTCACGAGGTCCGAAGACAGGACGAACCGATAACGGACTGCGGTAGTTTTTCGAACGCTATTCTCGGTTCAGAAGGCAGTAAGTAATTTTGAGAACAGAATCTTCTAGAAGCATTTTTCAGTTGCATTCAAAGACGTGTCGTAAAATAAAATATTTAAACAATTCTTTTCTATGAAAACCCAGTAGAAAGTTAACGAATTCCTTTCGTATTTCTTGTCGTTCAAAAAGTAACTGTTCAAGGAAGATTTTAAATCGTTTGAAAAAACAATTGTTACAGTTCGATTGAATAGACATCATCGTTTCGCAGAATGGCGAAGCAAGACGCGATTGTTGTAAGAAACGCTAATAAGCGTTACGGAAAAGGAGAGCAAGTACTCGACGGACTGAATATGACGGTTTCGAGGGGTTCCATGTAAGTAACCATTATTTATTATATTATACCAATGAACAGGATTAAGCGTCTTCCTATTAATTTCCATTTTCAGGAGTAAAACTGTAAACGAATAACCCGAGTTAAAAAAAGTTAAATAAACACTTCGTAAAAGAGCAAACAATGTGGTGAAAATTACATTTAGTGATTAACATTTTTGTTTACGATTAGTATCAATCCGCAAACACGTATCAACTGCCTAAATTGCCGACGCTTGTAATTTATACCAAAATTTTCGAATCTATTACAAGCACTGTACTCATACTGGAGAACGATCGTGGAACCGTTTATTACAAGATTAAAAGAAATATTGGCAATTCTATGCTTCCTCTAGTTCGAGTGTATCGTTTAAAGAGGATAAAACATCGTAATCGATGTTTCCATTAACAGATACGGACTGTTGGGGCCCAGTGGATGCGGCAAAACTACCATACTATCCTGCATGGTCGGGATTTGTAAACTTAATAGCGGCGAGGTGTTGGTCTTGGGCGAAACTCCGGGCAGCAAGGTTTGCGGGATTCCCGGGCCTCGAGTAGGTTATATGCCGCAGAGCGTCTCGTTAGTCGGAGAATTTTCCGTGAGCGATGCTCTTTATTATTTCGGCAGGATCAGCGGGCTTAGTGATGAGGAAATCGGTAGGATGTAAAACGGATAGGAAAAGAGTCGCGCAAAAAGACACGTAAATTCTGCAAAGTTTTTAGTTTCACTTTTGAGCGAGAATCTTTTAAACGTTTCCAGTATTATGTCGCTCGTAAGTTATTTTATTTTTAAAACAACTATAGTTTTTTCGTGTCATTTCCAAGAAACGAAACTGAACTTTCTGTCGGAGTTGTTTCAACTACCACCAGCGAACCACCTGGTGAAGAATATAAGTACAGGTCAACAAAGAAGGGTTTCCCTTGCCGCCGCATTGATCCACGGGCCCGAACTCCTAATTCTAGACGAACCCACCGTCGGCTTGGATCCAATTTTGAGAGAGAAGTAGATTCTGCTTTCTTTTTAGCGTAAGCAAACAACATTAAGAAACATGTTTGGACGTATCTTTTCTTTCACAGCATTTGGGCTTACCTAATCAAGATTACGCAGGAGCAAGGGACCACCGTGTTGATTACGACACATTATATCGAAGAGACTACAGATGCTAATAAAGTGAGTTTCCATCCCAGTGAGAAATGATTCATCGATCGATGTCGAAACGATATATGTATATCGTTTCGACATCGACAACGTCAAATTGACGTTGATTCGACATCGTTTCGACATCGATCAACGAATAATTTCCCACTGGGATTAGGTTTTCTAAAATACTTGTTCCATTAGTATAAATATAAAAGTGTTACAAAAAAACCCTCTTAGCATTGAAACAAAAATTACCTTTCAACTTAAAAAAGAACATTCTAGCTAAGTTACACAAAGATCGTATTTAATATTGTTTATCTTTAATATTACGCAGATCGGTTTGATGAAAAGTGGTAAATTGTTGGCGGAATTGGGGCCGCAGGAATTATTGGAACAATGTCACTGTTCGTTATTGGAAGAAGCTTTTCTGAAACTGTGCGAGGCACAAAATAACGCAGTTATTTTAAATGAAGCCCAGGGATCCAGTGCAATAAATACTGGTGGCCAAGTCTTAAATCAAGACCAAGATATATATGAACAAACAGAAGTATGATAGTTTTTACTGTTATGAAAAATCATGTAAATCTATAACCTTTTAGAAAATACAAATAAATTGAATTGTTAAGGCAAACTCGGATTACAAAATGGTTTCGAAAAGTCAAGTTCCGTGCTCGAGAAGAATGAAAGCTTTATTGGTGAAGAACGGCGTCCAGTTTAGCCGCAATTACGCGTAAGTGTTTATCAATAGCTTATCATCAACTCAGAAGAGATGCACTTGTCAACAAAATGAAATGGCATTTGTTTCAATTTTGGATCTTGTTATTTCCTTCACTATACCTGTACAACGTTCAGTTGTTGCATAAAAACCATACATTAAAAAAATTTGAGATTTTATCAACACTTACTGATGTCATAACAATAAGAATGACACAATTTTTCAGAGGGATACTTTTCGCACTATTAATCCCGATAATCCAAAGTAACCTATTGTTTCTTACAATTGGTCAAGATACGACAAACTTGAAGATTGCGGTTGTCAACGATGAGTCTGGCAACTGTGACTACGGCAACAACTTGGGCAATATTTGGAATGACGAAATCACCTGCCACTTTGGTAACCTTAGCTGTAGGTTTCTGCACAATTTTGACGACTTAATTGCAAAACAGGTATAACAATATAAACATAAGTAATATAAAGTAAATTAATAAGACAAAGTATATAATTAAAATTGCTTTCCGTTTTCTTGATGACCTCTTTCTTTCTCGCGAATTTCTTCCACTATAAATTGAAATCTACTTGGATATAAATTGAGAGGATGACTATATCAGCAATCAACAACATGTTTCTTGAAAATTCTTACAAATATACTTTGCTTTCAGATGTATTATAACAACATTTCAGAGGCGAGTCGCGAGGCGCAGAATAGACAATTCGTTGGTATAATATATTTCAATCAAAATTTCTCTGAGGCTCTGCAAGCACGAATAGAAGATGCCAAGTTTGCGAAGGATTCCGATCTTCGTGCCAGTCAGATTCAAGTTTCCCTCGATATGAGCAGTAGGTTATTTTTATTTATGTAAAACGTTTCATCTAATATACATATTTTTCCAGTTTAGTTTGTTTTTATCGGAGCCTCATTTACAAGTATCAATTTAAGAAATTTTATTATGAAACTACTAGAAAAGGGACCCAAGGAATCGATATCACGAGACACGGTAGTGTCTCGCGCCAAGTATAAGCGAAAAGTTTTAAAGTAACATTATTTCAACTCCTAAATGTTTTAAACGGCCCGGAAATTAAATAATTTCTTATAAATATTTAAATTTTCATTCGCTTGTGTTACAGATATGCTAATTGGGACTTCAATTCAGAGGAAATTATTCATACGTGTTTTAGAGACCTATAAAGATATCGTGAGAGATTGCAAATATCCGTCAAAACTGGCCGACCTGCCCATTCGAGCAAGTATAATATTATTTAATATTTTTAATTTTATAAAGTTAAATCTCTCTCTCTCTCTCTCTCTCTCTCTCTCTCTCTCTCTCCCTCTCCCTCTTCTTCGCCCTCGCCTTCGCCCTTGCCCTCACCTCCTCTCTCTTTCTGTCTCTCTCTTTCTCGCATAAAACTAAAATAGAAGATTAAAGTTTCAATCATTTTTAGTTTGAAGATCCCATTTATGGTTCGACGGAGCTCACGTACGCAGATTACGTCGCACCAACATACTTGATAGCGTAAGCAAAACTTAAGCTGATATAAAAAATGTAATCAATTTAGTTCTACTATTTATTGTTTCATACTGTATTTTTGCAGATTTATCTTCTTTATGGCCACCACAATCTCTACCTACTTGATAATCACAGATCGTATACAGGGTGTCTGGAATAGAAGCGTAGTCCAAGGTATAAAATTATCAATTAGACCCCAAAATCAGGTTTATGATTAGCTTTTGGTCTCTGTATATTTTGCCATAATAATGTTAATATAAATATATTATAGGAGTCAAAATAAAAGAGATTTTGCTGTCTCACATTCTTATTCAGAGCACCGTCATAGTGATTCATACTACTATGATAGTGCTCATGTTCTTCCCCATATGGGGTTTGGAATGTAAAGGATCGATGTTTATTGTAATTATCTTAATATTTATCAATGGGTTTTGTGGATTGATGTTCGGTGAGTACTCCGCTCTGTGTACCAAAAGAGCACGCAAATTCAGAGAGCGCTGGAAATTATACCGATGTGTTAACGTAATTTCAGGTTTTGTTATCTCTGTTATGTGCTCAAATCATGTTTCGGCGTGTTACATTTCAACCGGAAGTTTACTCACGATGACACTGATCAACGGTAAGCATGCTCCGTTTTCTTGTTTTTCGAAAAAACTTTTTACTCGAATCTAGAGTTGCTAGTGATACCCTTATTAAATTGATTATTTCAGAATTCAAATGATTTTATCATGTAACAATATTTCATTGTTAATATAAATGTAGAAAATTTTACAAAATATTTATTAAAATTAACGCCAACAGTATGTCTGAAGTTGAGTATCTTACGTTAAAGAGATATTTATTAATACATTAATGTGACGAAATCGTAGGATGTTTTTGGCCACTTGAGGGACTACCGAAAGTGATCCGCTGGATCAGCTACACGTTGCCAACTACATTATCCACCCTATCTATGAGGGGAATCCTTTACAAAGGATCTTCCATATCTGATTTCGAAGTTTATATTGGCTTTTTAATACCTTTAGGATGGATATTGCTATTTTTCGTTGTCTCTATACTTGGTATAAGATTTAAATCCTCGTAATATTATTTAGAAACGTTGAAAACTTTTATGGATATGATAGAAAGTAATTTTGTGTATTCTACAGAGTTATTATTTCCCTGACAAATTTTCAAATAATTTTTCATCAATTAAACATCACATTTATTGAAAAAGTATTGTGGCGAGCGTGGCGTACCGAAGATTTGCGCGCTGCTCTAATGACTTGAAGATCCGAGTACGAACCCAGCCAGAACACTGCTGGTTTTTATTCAAACGTCACCTTTCATTGTCAGAGAAAAGTGATAACCACCAAGAGTATCCCGATAAAGATAATTTTTTCATACATTGTACATCTCGTACGTACACTGACTCGGAGAGATTCTGTTGGCCGCGATACGTTTGACGCTTCTAGTTAACGTTATCCGAGAGTTAACACGGCATGCGTTATATAATTACCGGACAGAATGATATCTCCTTCATGGGAAATGCGGAAACAAGTGTGTCCTTGTTATAAAATTTCCTCAGTACGTAGGATAAAAAGTCCTTCGTAATTAAATATATATAAAGCATGTTAATTGTTCTAGATAAGAGTATGGGTTTAAATTGATAAATTATATAAGCGACTAAACTTTAAATCTGTGTCTGGGGTGAAGTCGTCATCAAGCCACCGGGGTGAAGTCGTCACGGTGACGACTGAAATCGACTACTGCCACTGCGTCGAGAAAGAGAGGCCGGCCCCCAAAAAAATGTCACGCAATTACAACCGCAGCCTTCAACAAGCAGTGGGCGAAAATCGAAGTCAAGGAAGCAGGAGTGGTCCGATTCCGACAGTGATGACAAAACAGAAAAATGATTTTCTTCTAATTATTTTCATTGTATTTTTAATTAATGTTAATTAATGTAACTGTTTAAATTTTTCTATTAAAAAATAATTAATAAAATGTATTCTATCGTATTTCATGATCGAAATTATATAGTTTCATTTAAAATCTAGTCCGAGAATGGAGTGACGACTTCGCCCCATAGGGGTGACGACTCCGCCCCGGAAATTTTGACATTTCAATTTTTGCACCTTTGTCATTTTTACTCTATACCGATTGAACAAAGCGATGTACACCAAAAATACATAGAACACATTATAGCCAAGGATTCACTTTTTACAACGGTACACCACATTTCACTAAAATTATGTATTTTGTTGCTAAAAACCGGCATCGAAAAAAAGGTGACGACTTCGCCCCGGTCTCCCCTATATTATGAAATTTGCAGAATTTAACTGAAAATAAATTTTTTAATGAAAAATTGCTGAAATGATAATGAAATTGGGTCAATTGCAGGAGATTTTCAACCAAATTTCAGCAAATTTCATTACGTTTTCAGCAAAATTTTTCCATCAGGGAGGGTATTCCTTACTTCCTCCCTATCGGGCCCTGACCATACATAAGGCATGCATGACTTTATTTCTAGTCGGGAATGCCATGACATTTATTATTAGGCGCGGACATGGCGCGGACATGACGCTAACATGGCCCTTCCTAGTTTTTTAGGATAAGGCGCTGGCGTGGCAAACTTGCATGGCGCTGACAAGTGTCGTGGCGTCGGCAGAGCAATTTCTACCAGGGACGTTTACGTTGTAAAAATAATTTAAAAGTGATTTTAAAAATGTATTGTTGAAACATGAAATATTCCTGAAATCTCTTTGAAATGTTTCAGAAATATATTTTTTATATGATTAATTTTATAAAAAATTTCTGTGGAATTCTTTACGAACAATAAATATTATACATATATTTTGTATATTCCTGTGATTAATTTCAATTTGTATTATACAAGGTCATGTCTTTAAAATATTTTTGAAATAATACTGTTTATCAAAAGTATTTTAATATTATGTTTCAGAAACATTTTCATATTACACTTTTTGTCACTAACTGGAAAATGGTACTATGAAATATTTCAGGAACATTTCTGAAACACTTCAACGTAATGTTTCTAAAATGTTTCTGATACATTACATCGTTATGTTTCAAAAATTCATTTCAAATTTACGTTTTTAAAATGTATCAATGATACATGAAATGTTTCCGAAACCTTGAAATATTTCAGAAACCTTTCAGAAACGTATTTTGCTGTATGGGGATGAGGAAGGTAATCGACTTCTATGTATATTTCTTTATGCCCAGCGTGTGCACCTTAAAAAATCTCATCACATTAGTCTACTCGTTTACGGAATATTTTACAATTGCAAAAATATACACATATATGTATGAATGTGTTAAGTCCTATGTATTTTTTTTATTAACGGACTCATACAAATGATGGTCAGAATGCAGTATCTTGAGTCGAATTTTATCGCGATACGTTTAAGTGAAAAATTAAATATCAAGTAATTTATCCGAGTTTATTTATATTTTAATATTTTCTCATCGATAATTTAAATTGATACATCAGCGATTTCTGTTGATTAAAATTCGTACTATCGTCTAAATTTACGAGGAATACATTGCATTTCACTAATGTATTTCATGGCCGCAACTTTTTATGGTATCTGTCTTGCAATATCGGAGTTTATTACATAAGGCAATATATATGATCACTCTAAGTGACGCGAAAGCATTTCTTATATACACGATTGATATTTTCTTTGCCAGTGATAAATTACAAACAAGTAATATTGTTTGACTAGAACAGGCTGGAATTCCATTTGTTATATTTTATGTTATTAAATAATACAGAAGGAAAACTACCAGAAATTCTCGAATTTCGCCCTTTCTTTCGACAGGAATAAAGCCAGCGGCGATATTATTTTCTACAGGATTGCTTACTTGCGCCAAAAAGAAAAGAATAAAACAGTAAAATCATATGCTAGATTTATTAAATTGAATACTGAAACCCAGGTAGAAATCTGCCTCAATTTGCCGAGATTAAGTACAGGGCCTGGATAGAAAAATCCAGTTAAAAATATCTGTATAGGTCCAGAATACACCCTAGAAATTTACCTTGATTTTACCGAGAGAAAAATAGTCGGAAAAATCTACATTGGTCCTAGATTGCCACTGACAGATTTTTCCCAAATTAGATATGAAACTATGGGATCTAGATTGGATAATCTAGCTTTAAATATCTTAATAGGTTAGGTCCAAAAGTAAATTGTCTTCTTAATTATAAGAAATCTGCCTCAATTTTCCGAGATTAAGTACAGAGCCTGGATAGAAAAATGCAATTAAAAATATCCGTTTAGGTCCAGACTACACCCTAGAAATTTACCTTGATTTTACCGAGAGAAAAATAGTCGGAAAAATCTACATGGGTCCTAGATTGCCACTGACAGATTTTTCCCTGATTCCCTCCTGAATAGATAGCACTAGTACCACATACTGCCGTGACGTGGCGACCGCGCGTTAGTCTTCCTCGTAAGTAAAAATCGTCCCGTATTAGTATAAAAGGCGAGCCGATATGATGCGAGAGCGAGTTGTCTGGACCATGGATAAACCTCGACGTTACATATACGGTCAGGGCCCTGTCAGGGCTGTAAGGTATCTTTATTAGGATACTATCAGAACCCTACTAAAATTTCTGCTCGGGTGGAATTCCAGGGAATATTTTAGGGAAAAATTTTAGATTTAAGCCTGGACCAGACTGGATCATAAAAATAATTATGGTACAAACCAAGTAAATATCTAGGAAAATTATAGGCCCCAGCTAGATTCCATATAATTTTTCTAAACAAATTCCGGGCGTAATCTTGGACCGATCTGGATTCAGCAATAGGGCCTGTTCGATTTAGGCGTCCCAAACTTTACATAGACCCTAGCTAGATTTTCCACCTGGATCCCAGAAATATTTTACAAAAAATATATGGGGCCCTGATTGTTTCCAGACAAAATTTCTACCTGGGAAGCTTCACAAATGTACATACGTCTGATCTGTAATATAATACTGTAGAAATTTCTTAAGCACATAGGTACGCAAACATAAAAAGTCAGTACATTTAACGAATTTCGATTTAGCACTTAATGCACGTAAAAATATCTTAAATGTTGTTTGTGCTACAAGACCTTTGCATGAGTGAGTGGGCATGTGTTTTTTATTCATGCAGAGCAGAATCGTCAAATCAAATTTGATGATGCTTGTCAATGAGTCGCTTGTAGAGTTATTCAGAATCCGCAACATCAGTAATTGTTTCGTCTATTTCGTAATGTTTGGCAACGTTGCGTTGAGATGCAGCGTAAAATCTTGTGGAACCGCACATGTTAGTATTACACGTTGGAAATGCATTTCCCTATGAATATCTT